CAAAGTGAGCAGCTTCTACCATACTACGCACTGCAATCTCTCTATAGAGGAAGAGAGAGGGGAGAGAGAGGGAGGGAGAGAGGGGGAGGGAGAGGGGGGGAGGGAGAGAGAGAGAGGGTATTAGATAATTATAAACAGCTGCTATTACTATTATTATTATTAATTATCAAACACTATAGAACACTAGCTGCCAACAAAGTAGAAACAGTGATAAGCTAAAAATACACAACCACCACCAATAAATAAAACAATAACAATTAAAAAATACTAATAACTATTAATAATTATCAATAACTAATAATAACTATTAATAACTAGTCTTAATAACTAGTACTATTAGGTAATGATGACTTAATTTTGTTATCACACATCAAAAAGATCTTGGCAGTTTATCATTACAATACTACTAACTATACACTGTATGTACAGTATAGACTGTATTACAATAACAATACTACACTACATGAAATAATAGCAACTATAATTATGTGGATGTACAGTAGATTGTATGCAGAAAAAAAACAAAACATATTCTATTTTATACATGGACTGTACTAGTCATGTACAAACCAAATATACTTGTACATATAAACTCTATAAAATATACTTACAATAACTTCCTCAGTAGATGCTGGTCCTATTATTGAACACAAGTCTTTACAGCATATAGCAAAGGACTAAAATATACAGAGGCAGTATCCAAGAGTATACTGAGATGCACAAACACTACCTTTCTCACATGAAACATGGCATCAGATGCTAAAGCTGGTAACTGAGGAACAAACTCAGACACACAGACCTCTTGACCGAGAAATGATGCCACTCGACCAATTAGCTGTAGAATAAAGACACACCCACTTGGTGACCACACCCATTAATTATATATTGTACCATTACAGTGTCCATTCTTAGGTCGTAGGTTTCTTCTTTCCTGAGACACTTCCTCACCATCGGACACAACTGGGACACCAAACTATCTGAAATTAAATTATAATAATAATTAACAACAACATGTACATGTATAATAAGGAACTAACTTATATTGGCCTGGTGCCACTGGTCCACTGAGCATGATCAGAGTAAACTAAAATGGCAGATACTAGTTTCATATTGGCAGTAACTTGAAACACTGCCAATACTTCCAGCAGTGCAGTAAAGGGAAGACAGGCTTTTAAATGCAGCACAAATGTCTGGATGAAGTTTTGAAGGTCAATAAATTAACGCTATGAATGATAAATATCTATTCAATTAGATGCGTGGGTGGATACCGTAAATCTATACTCGTATTCCAATTGCATGGATCCAACACAACAAGCGTAACAGTGTAAAAATATTCCTATAATTGATTTCACCACCTTGCATGTACAGCTGGGTTCTTATTAAGACTTATGAAGATTCTCTCTACCTTCTACTGCTTCTAGAAAAGTCTTTAGACAGTATCTCTATGCTCTTTCGCTGTTAGAAAGCTCATAACTTTTTTCCATGTTCAAACCGCCATTTTGTTTGCCGTGACCACACCCACTTACGTAGCGTGGGCGGGTGGTTGCTAAGGCTTGTTATTTCTCCAATACAACGTGTATAGAAGAAATGAAGTGTTGACATACAATCAAATATATATATATCGCACGTGGGTGAAATCAATTATAGGACGACCTGGGGGCTACGCCCCCAGGTCGTAAAAAGTGACAAAATCTCTAACTGGAAAGAAATGGATGATGATCGAGGATGAAATAGAAGAAGTTCCCTGGCCCAATGAAAATAATGATGACCCTCCTCATAGGCCACCTCTGGAGGAAGATTTAAGTGGACCAGTTGAAGGTCCTATAAGTGGACTAGTTAAAGTAGGAATAGTTACAGGTCTAGTCTCGCCCCGCCCCTTCGCTACCTGTGGAGGAAGGGTCTGGAGACACTCAAGGTAAAAATGTGTGCTCATGCAGAGAAATCCACGTCCCAATCAGATTGCTCGAACCACGTGTAGGACAAGAAGTCATGTGACTGAAGAGCTCTGTTTAAGACAAAAGAGGAAGAATGAGGACCAAATAAAGGAAGGAAAGAGCCTGCAACGCTCCCTGGACTTCTTTCTCAAAGTTTTAGATCAGCATTATCGTGCTGCTTACTACAACGACGCCATCGCATTTATGACGTAATAAACTGTCACATTGTTTACAATAAAACGTCATCGATAAAAAGTAAATACTATGGCGCTCTGTGAAGAGTTGCTGCTCTCAAATCTGCAAGAGATGTCCAAGAGACTGTATCCTCATTGTTTCTTAGCTGCAAAGCATCTGTTTAAGCTGTCTTGACGGATCTGGTCTCCTCTGTCACATGACGTGGAGCCAACCACGTGTTCTTCTTTCCACACACTTTTTGCGTGAGTGTCTCCAGA